AAAAAAAAAAAAATAAAAAAAAAAAAAAAAAGAAACGAAAAAAAAAGACAATGAAATGAAGAATGAAGAAAAATAAAGAATTTTGGATTTGATCGATTCAATAAATTTTTTCAAGAGATTTTTAAATCTTTATAACATTGTTATATAAGAACGAACAAAAAATTCAATCTATACGTGTGCATATTTTTGGTAGTATAGAAAGGTTGATAACCAATGCGTGAATAACCTTGTGACCTTGAATCTATAGTCATGTAACACAGTCTCTATAAGATGTTTGTCATGAACTTGATTCTTCGACCTGTTTCAAGGTAAACTTGTACGTAAATGCGCATAAGCAAATCCATAATAATTAGAAAAATGAGAAATATATAAAAGTATCATTACTCTTAAAAAATAGTTTTCTCGATTAAACCGTGTCGTTTGATTTCATCACTTTAGCTAAAACTCGAAAGATTCATCAATAATTTTAAAATAATTTCACTTTTTTAATAATTTTTTTAAAACACATTAATCCTTTTGCGTACATTTCATTCATTATTTCAATTATTTTCTATGTGCAACGAAACCACTACTATATTATTATTTGAAAAGCTATCTAAATAAAATATTTTGAAAACTATCATGTATATCGTGAAATGATAATTTCTCAAAGAATGAGAAAAAAAATCAGATGATTTTTTTAATAATTTCGAGATAAATGATCAAAGTAACGAAAAAAAAAATATTCACTTTTTGATAAATCTGAACATTCTTATTAAAGAATAAATCATACATTTTGCAAAAAAAAAAAGAAATAATTACCTGTAATTGTATATGTAATTCAATTATGGATCGATAATGAATGTTAACTAACAATTATAAAAGCCATCGTGGATATATGTTATTTTGTAAAAAAACACATTGCAAATTACACTGAAATTTTAAAATACTAGAAACTACCGGTTCAAACTCCACTCAACAGAATCCGACTGCTGCTTGAACTTGACTGAAGGTAGGCTTCTTGAAACAGGATAAACTATAGGTAGTAACAACATCATTAATTTTATACTTACATTATTTAGATTTTGCTCACGTTTATATTTGACCTTTCATCTGCATCATGTTTTTTTACATTCAAGAATAAATGAATTGTAATAAAAATTGTTCGTGGCCAAGCGTTTAACAAAAGAATTTATTTTATGTTATAACGTGATATTTAAATTTAATGATTATAATTTAATGATTATAATTTATTTTAAATCACAAGATGAATTTCGAAAATGTAATTGTAAAACAAAAAAAAAAAAAAAAAAAAAAAAAAAAAAAAAAGAAAGAAACTAATAATATAAAAGAAACTAATAATGATGTAACACTTTGACAGTTATTTTTTAAAATTAGTTTCGAAATCGTGAACTATGATCGGAAAAAAACCATATAGATGGATGGTTATTAAAAGAAGAAGAAACGACGCATATAATAAGAAAAAAAAATGTATCTTAAAAATCATAAATAAAAATCGAAGAAATGATTTACTTCGATCAATCAAAAAAGATGAATAATAAATTTTTTCTTAAAATATAATATATAATTAAAATATAATATACATACAATCAAAAAAGATATATCTGATGATGATGATGATGATGATGATTCACTAAGTTTTTTCTTTCTTTTCGTATAATAACATTTTAATTATTTTTCACAAAGATAATTACTATTTATGTAATAAAGCAAATTTTGATTGAATATTTATATTTATTTTTATTATTTAAAAAAAATTTTTCTAAGTTTTTATTTGTATTCAAATGCGCAATTAAACCTAATTGATTTGAATATGGATATGCATATTTTAAAGAAAAGAACGTTATAATAAGTCCTATAATAAATTCTATAATAATTCATTATATTATTCATAATATTATAATTCATTTATAATTCTATAATACATATCTTATAATATCACGTTAAAACTCAAAATGCGGATAAAAAATAATCTTTATAAATATTAATCTTATAAATTGAATTTTGTTTCTTTTCTCACACGCGATATAAGTTATTTTTCTTAAAAAATTCATTATCAATCAAAATTGGATATTGTAAAAAATGAAAATTAAATTGGAAAAAAATCTTCGATGATTGAAATATTGCTATTTTAATTGTCTGTTATGTTTTCTTCAATTTTTTTTTTTAAATTTATTTCTATTCCTATATTTTTTAAGAAATTTATAATCTTTTATATTTTTTATGAAATTTATAGTCTATAGTGACAAAAACAAGTATCGATATTTAACTTTTTATATACCAGATGATTAATTTCGATGAAGTTGATCAATTTATCTTCTGTGAAATTGAATTATCACAAATCGACAATGGCATGTTACGTGAAATTCTATACTATTATTTACGCAAGAGTCATTTATCTGTCATTAATTGTAATTTTTATTATTATAACTAACAGAAATTCTTTTTAACGTGTTCAAAATGAAAAATTTTTGTTTCTACTTGAAAAAAATTTAGATTACGGTTAAACAAATTGTTAAAGTAAATAAAATAATATTAAAGTGAGTAAAGTAAATAAAAATTATGCTATAAAGTATCAAGTATCATTTGCTAACAAAAACAAATGTTTAATCTTGATCTTGAATTTATTATGTTTTACGTTTTTAAATTGCGTAACACCATGATAAAATGCAAATATATGAACGTATAATTAATAAAACATAATATCAGTTTATACAATTGATCATTATTCTTTAAGATGTGTTAGTTTCACAAATTGCAAGTTTTTCTTGACGTTTCCGATCCACGTCAGCGAGGAAGTCAAGGATCAACCTCATCACGGTTTCAGGGACTATTCTGAAAGCCATAAACGCAGCATTAAAACTTTATGATTATGAAAATATTATAAAGGAAATTTTATTATAAAAGAAATAATCATATATTTACTGTTTTTGCTTTAGAATTAAAATTGTTTTGAATCTATTTGTATACATGGTGAGAAAGAAAAAAGAAAATAATATACCTATTGATAGAATTTAAAGTAAAAAGACATCTGGGAATGGAATATTCGGTATAATTTCTTCTGAATGCTTTGATTATCTCTTTTGCTGCATATTCTGGTGATATTACACCAAATATATAAGGGAACCTAAAAAAATAGATTAAGATATTTAATTTAAAAGGAAATCATACATAAAATTGAACTTTGAGAGAAAAATTTGTAATTTTTTAAAATGAATCGCACTTTACCTATATTTTGGATCCTTGGCTAATCCGGTATCTACGTAAAATGGATAAATAGTTGTAAATCTTATATTATTAAACTTGGGGTCCAATCGTAATTCCTCGTGAAGAGCATCCATCAATCCTGTTAAAGATTTATTTATTAAATTCATTTATTCTTTAAAATAAAAATTGATGTGATGGAAATAATTATTTGCTTTTAAAATTTAAATTCTATAATAACAATCTATGAATGGAAAAATATTCAAAGATTGTTAATTTGCGATTGAAAATTTCTCTCAACCTCTCATTGCAAATTTCGAGGAACAGTACGCTACTTTTTGGGACACCCCGTATATACCACACATGCTGCATACGCAAACTATATGTCCTTTTCCGTTTTGTATCATACTTGGTAAAAAGGTTTCTATTGTCTGTAGAAAAAATTAATAATTCAAATGAGTGTTTCTTTAACACATTTACATTATGATTAGTATTATCCGTAAGAATTCTTGAATTTTTAAATTTGATATTTGATAAATGAACATGGATACATTTGAACACACCCAAAAGTTTGATAGAACATTAACATTAAATGTCTTCTCAATAAGATCCGATTCTTGATTCAAAAAAGGACGATGATATAATACAGCAGCATTATTAATCAGGATCGATACTTCTGGCACACCTACTTTTCTCATTAATCTTGCAGCCTCTCTGACTTCTAATCTCTTCGATACATCGACCACAAAACCATAAGCCTAAGTAATTTCTTTTTATTAAAATTGTGAAAATTATATTTTATTCAAAATTAAATAAAAATATTTTAAACATAATCATGATCTGATCATTTTCATGAATATCAAAAAATATTAAATATATTTTAAAATCGTAAAAATTGAAAATTAAAATTAATCTCTGATTGCTGATATATTTGAAAAATTTTAAGGATAAGCAAGAATAAGAATGCAGTTAATAAATATATCTATACTTTGTATTTATACAATCTCCTTTTTATCTTATTATCAGAGATTTTATATTTTATTGCTTTTCTAAACTTATTTTAAAATAATCTTTCGTTTCTTACTTCTCCGCCATTTTTTGACACCATGCTTATAGTCGATCGATTTGCTTCTGTATCTATGTCCCAACAAACAATTATACAACCCAAAGAAGCTAATTGAATAGCCAATTCACGACCAATTCCATGTCCAGCGCCAGTTATCTAATAGAATTACGTAGAAGATAGAAATAAAAAATATTGAAATTATGTTATGGATGATTTATTCATTTACCAACACAGTTTCTCCTATCAAATTTTTTGCTCGAGGAGGTATAACCATTTTAAAAGCAGCTACGGTCATAGCAAAAGTTATCTTCATAGATAAAACAAAAAGATCATACAATAAATGTAAATGAGAGAAGGTGAAAACATTCTTTATACTTGACATCTTGATTTTTTTTTTTAAATTGTTTGAATTGTTTGATTAATCTTCAATAATAGATATTAATCATAGAATAGCTTTTGTTTCATTAATCGACATCAAAAACTTTACATATTTTTTTAACTTTGAAAATGATAATAAGATATTTATATATTTTTTGTTATTCGAACTTAATAAAAAGCAGTTCAAAGAAAATATACTATTGAAGTTAGCCAAATTAATAAAATAATTATTAATTTTTGTACAAATATAAATTCAATTTATATTTTCCCGGTAAGTAATGTCATGAAACGAATAAAATATAGATGCGTTTTATCGACTTTGTATACATGCCATAATAGAAATGAAATTGTAAACTACTCATTTCTTAATCTATGAAAATTACTTTAATTCTAAATAATATGTAAATATACATAAATGATATGTTGAATATCGGATTTATTATCAATTAAGCAATAAAAAGATTAAGAACAAATAATAATTTCTTGAATTTACTTATTTGGAACGTACTATAGAGTTTCCTATTTAGATTGAATATCTGTTCTATGGAAAGAAGCATTCTGATTCTTCATGGCGGAGAATGTTTTTATTCCTTAATAGCCGTGATAATATCGTCGATTTTGTGACTCGACAACAGTTTTCTTTTTCCACTCGTTCTACTCGTTAAATGTGATCAACATCATGGACATTCGCGGAATAGAAGTTACGAATCAATTGCGGGTAAGTGAAGCATTTATACTTTTACTTGACTGTACCTACACTCTTCCAATCGTATAGTTGTGTTCAATAATTTCTGATGCAGAAAATTAAAGAATTATTAGCAAGATTCGATTTAATAATTTATAATTATACGATAGTATTATTCGATTTTTAACAATTTACGCAATATAGTTATTTGAGTTTTTGATGGTGATAAAATTGTAAGTTTCGATACGTCGTTTGATTAATCGTATGTGATATCTTATATGGATATAAAAGTCGAAAAAAGCAAGAATCGGAAATAATAAATCTATTTTACCTTTATAAATCGCTAGGAATAATTTAAAATTATAAAAATGTATATTACAATTTATATATATCATAAATTTCATAATAAATATTTGTTACTCATTTTTTTCAGAGTGCTATTCGTGCTAAATTGTTGGAGTTAGGAATAAGATATGATGAAGAACTACCAGATTATATTTTAGTAATGGTTGTAAATAAAAAATCTCGCCAACAAATGCATGAAGATTTATATTTGTTTCTGGAAAATTGTACAACACCATTTGTTGATTGGTTACATGACCAAGTGTTGAAAAAGTTACAGAAAGTCACTGTGGCCAAGAAAAAATCATTGAGAGAGTTTGTACCTACAGTTGTTGTAAAACAAGAGGAAGAGAGGAAAAAGAGAAAGACATCGACAACTTCTTTTTTGGAAGACCAAGCTGCAAATCAAACT